CACTCTTCATCTGTCGGGTTTTCCTTGATTTCAAAGTCTGCAAAAGAAACCTTTCTGTGGCTGTTTTTTTGGGCAGCTTTTCGGATAGTGGAATTTTCCGCATCGATGTTATATTGCCAATGGTATCTGCGGAAATCCTTTCCATCCTTCTTGAGCATTTCGCCAACATCTAGCCTGCTTCCTATCTTCGCGTCGTTGTTCCCAGACTTTGTGGGTCCAGCTCTCTCCCCCGGCGTGCCATTACCCCTGGAGAGCTTCAACATCCGCTGCCTAGAGCTCATGAACCACCCCTTGAGGGCGTTCAAGGACGACTTTGCCGCGCGGCTTGACATTGCAAATAAAACGGTAACTGCCGAGTAATACCCGCTCTTATGCGGTAGGTGGCTGGAAAGTCGACTGCGGACCTAGAATGGCTACATTTAGCATAAACTAAATCGATATAAATTTTTGGGGAATTAAATAGCATACCTATAATAAGTTTTGTTATTACCCTTCTGTCCTGGTTCTTCCTTTCTCCTAGCTCTCGAGTTTGCCTTCCAACAATGATCAATGGGTTAGAGGGAGATTGAATGGGGCTTTTATGTCTTTAACAAAATCTCTGAAATGTTGGTGTACTCTGGTCCCAGTCATAATGAACCCTGTAGTTATATATTTATAGAAATCACAACAAGGATACCTGGACAGAGAACGAGAACGAATCATTCAACACTTCGATCCCATTCTGTACTTGTAGTTAGTTATATTTTTAGAAATACCTCTTACCACCTGGGGAGAACAATGAAAGCGGCTACGCATCCTTGCCCAAATTGCGTAACTAGCTGATTAATACGTAATGTATAGGCTGTCCAATAGGACAATTTCGGATTGCTAGCAGTGTTAAAGGGTTAGAATGCTCAACCCAAAGAATGGTTAATTAGTCATGAAATTTTCGGTTAAGTAGAAATTCCATGTAGTATTATTATATTATATAAAGAAAGCTGAGGCCCATGTTTTCACTTATAAAATGAGAAGAATGACTATCATTAGAGGTGACAGTGGTCGTTAAAGTTAAATAAAGTTCGACGCGGGCAACTCCGCCCTCAAGAACTTGGGGGCCAGGCACGGACCCGTCTAATTGGTTGGCTACTTACTAACCATAAGTAGTTAGTTGGGTGTATTCACGTGACAGTAGCTCAGCCAGTAAACTGGAGTTGTTAAGCGCCCGGTCTCGGACAGCACTTCCTTGTCATCACTTATTTTTCCATTGGTCCTCTAATAACACAGTCCACTGCAAAGATGAA